CATATGTATATTATCTGGTTTACACTCTGCTTCAAGTTGATATGCATTGGTCAAAGGATAAGGATAAAGAAGTGCATATTATAAGAGATAGCATCAGCCGACATAGATTTATAATTTTAATTTATAATAGTGAAGAAACCGCTACATCAATGTCAGTACATGGACGTCAATCTAAATTTGGCTTACCAGATAAAACCAGATTCGAAAATATTGGCCACATTATAAAAAGAGATGGTAGTGCAAAAATGTAGGATGTACAAAAGTAATACTATTTATTTATGTAAAAAGTGCAGAATGCATCTACACCCCGAATATTTCGAAAATTTTTACCTTAAAATTGAATTTACGTTTAAGATACAATATGTTCCTTTATTAAAAATTGTACTGTTTTCCTTAAAAATAAGAAAAAAAATCTTTTTGGTTGTAATTTATTCTTAATTTGTGTTTTTAATCCAATCTAATAAATTAATTGTCAAATTTCTCTTTGTATATTGAGCGGCCGTTAAGGGTTTATTACTATATTAAGAATAAACTGACCTTAAATTTACTTTACTTACCTCAAAACTATTTTAAAGTTAATAATAAAGTATATTTAATAAATATATTCCCAATAATACACTACGCCCATGCACATATGAATAAAATCTGGAAGATATTATATTTCATAAACTTCAATAAGCTAAGATATCATATTTCTCTAATTAACATTCTTTCTAAAAACGTAAATATATATAGACCAGCAAAATATTGATAATTTTACCGATGTTCCAAACTATTCTATGAACTTGTCTCACTATACACTCGTAAATCGCACAAATTTATATTGTTACGGGGGCAAATTTATCTTACATGGGTTACAAATTTACATATTTACATGGGCGAAGCATACACAATAAAAATGACCCCGGTAAGAATGAACTAATGAAATTTTTCATGGTTGCCGCTGTCGTTTAGTTCAACTTGTAGATTAGTCACCTTTAATTAAAAATTGTCCGACTATAGGACTTTTTATTTTGTTTTTTATATACCTTTTGTCTTTCAGTATGTATTTTCTTTTTTTATTTTGTAAATAATAAATTCATTAGTAAAATTTCAGTGTTCATCTCATTTTAGCTATTATTAGGAAATAATAATAATATCTAAGTGGTCCGCCAAGAGTTCTGAAAGGTACAAGTGGTCCTCAGTGATGAAAAAGGTTGAGAACCACTGGTGTAACCGACAATCGCTTAATATTAAATAAATATATGATTATAATATAAATATAATATATTTTAATTTTTTTTTTTTAATATTAACAATATTGTGTAGTATTATTATTTCTAGTGTTATTATTTCTACATCCAAAGCTTAATACTTTTGGTACATACTGTGGTTGAAAATTAATATATTTGCTAGCAAACCGCTGTATGAATTTTTAAATTATGAACAACGCTGCATTCGGCGAAAATAGAATTTTAACAAATGAAAATTTGTTACCGTGGCTGTTTGGGTCTCATATTTTTGTTATTTTTCCGGCGATCGAGCGCGAACGGGACGTGAAAAGCCATTAGTGACGGCTTTCATTACTATCGCAAGCGGAATATATCGCAAATATTGCGCTCTGTATGTGGGTTTAAGAGAAATTTTTACGGTTAATTTGTTTGAATATTTTTGTTAGCTTTATTGTGTATATCTTAATATTTATAACTAAAAATGGTAAATTAATTATTGGTAAAAGTAAAAATTTAAAAATTTGAATTAAAACATGTCTTCTATTATCTGTATAACTGTTATATAGCAAAATGTGGCTAGTGTTCATTCTACAGGGTGATTCATTAATATTTTTTTTATAATATTTTTAGGGATATATTGGAAACTATTCAACCAATACCAAGTGAAATTTAGTATATTGATAGTATTTAGTAAGCTATATGAAATAAACAATAGGTTCTCTAATATGGCAACTGAGGATAATGTTAAAAACATGGACCACCATAAAAGAATCATTTGATGAGGTGAACAACACTTTTCTACTCGAGAGTAAAACAACTACCAAGAATGAGTGGATGACAGAAGAAATATTAGAGATGATGGAACGATGCAGGCAGTGTAAGATTAGGCAGGACCAAGTAGGGTACCGAAATATATACACTTAAATTTGTAAAGAAATTATAGCGGCGAAGGAGATCTGGATGATTACACTTTGCACTGAGGCTGAAAACCTATATAAACTCGGCGACAGCTTCAATCTTCACAAGAAAATTAAGGAAATTGCTGGTGTCTTCAAGAAAAAAAAAACACTGGTATACATAATGACCATTATGAACTAATAACGGACCCTTGCGATATACTTAATACTTGGAAAATGTACACAGCCAATTTGTTCAATAATCACAGAACTCAAAAACCACCACAACAGGGAGACATTATTGTCAAGCTCTTTAACGACATCTACGATACGGGCCAGATTCCAAAAGATTGGTTTCGATCTACATTTATCGCCCTACCAAAAACACAACGTGCAAACTTCTGCAAGGACCACCGACTAATAAGCCTAATGAGTTACTTTTTAAAACTTTTCCTGTGAATACTTCACACTAGATTGTTTAAAAAATGTGAAGAGGTCAATGGATGGAGTCAGTTTGGTTTTAAAAATGGACACATGCAAACATTAATACAGAATTGTTTAGATCAAAGAAATAATGTTTTTGTCTGTTTCATCGATTACGAGAAAGCATTCGATAATCTAAAACACGAATTGATGATAAAATACCTACAAGAGTTTGTAGACAATTGGAAGTTCCAATCTATATTGGAATTAGACAGCAACAGTACGTCTTCAAAATTTCAACGAAACAGAAGATTTGTCCATTAAAAAAGGAGTAAGGCAAAGTTGTATACTGTCTCCAATGCTGTTCAATTTATATGTAGAAAAAGCCTTTGCAGAAGCAGTGGCAGACTCTAAAAAAGGTAATAAAGTTACCGGCATATTTATTAATAACATCAGGTATGCCGATGATACAGCTATAGTGGCAGATAACATCGAAGATCTTAAGATCGGAGATGCCTTTTGAATGATTTAACTCTTGCAAGTGAAGCTCTGGGTTTGAAAATAAATATCAAGAAGACAAAAACAATGATTATAAGTCGAAATGATTACCCCAACGCAAAGATATATGTCTCTGGAGAAGGAATGGAACATGTCAGCAATTTAAATACTTGGTTTGTTTGCTGAACGAGGGTTGGGACCCCGTTAAGGGGTTAAAAAAGCCAGAAATGCTTTTTTGAGCTTCGTAAGTTTCTGATTGACCGCAAATTGGACTTCAACCTCCGATACAAGATGCTTAAGTGTTACGTGTGGCCTGTTCTACTATACGGAATGGAAGCACGGACGTTAAAGGCCAGTTTCATTAACAAACTTGAAGTGTTTAAAATGTGGTGCCTGCGTCGAATGGTTAGAATATCATGGACGGACAGGGTCAGAAATAAGGAAGTACTCAGAAGAGCGAGCTTACAGGATAGGGAACTTTTTAGTTATGTAAAAAGTAAGAAGACTGCATACTTGGGGCACATATTACGAGGAGAAAGATACACTTTTCAGCAGCTGATTATCGAAGGGAAGATAGAAGGTAGGAGAGGTCTGGGACGTAAAAAAATATCATGGTTGCGCAATATTCGACAATGGACAGGAATCCACAGCTATGAAATGCTTCGCAATGCTGCTAAAAACAGAATTATTTATTCCTGAATATTTAACATCTCACCTGACAAGACGATGTACCGTGGACACCTACGCAGAAATGAAGAAGAATATGAAATACGAAAATGGTATTAGTTTTACCATAGACACTAGGTAACGCCACCTACTATAATATTGGTTCATTATAGTGGCCATCATTTTTTTGTCCGCTCTGTATAAATATTCTAGAAAAAAAAACATGAAATAACATTCAATTCTACACAAAAAAGGTATTCTTGTTTCAAATCAAAAAGTACACTGTTTTCGAAATAAACGTTTTAGAGACGTGCATAAAATGAAAAAAATTTACAAAAACTTATGTAAATTCAAATATTATTCATAGGGTCTTAAATGCCAGCGAATATTAAATGTATTAATATTAGATAATTTTTATCGATAAATATTTTATAGTTATTTATCCGACGTTGACGATCACCGTTGCAAAGGTTTCTCGATCTTTTGCAATATGGAATAATTGTCTTGCATTTGGTATCTGAGTCCATTCACGAATGTATTTTAACCAAGAAACTTGTTTTCTTAGTACACCTCTATGCCCCTCTATTTTACCTTTAAGGATCAGTTGTAATATTTTATATCGACTTCCCCTTACTATGTGTCCCAGATAAGACATTTTTCAATTTTTAACAGTCTTTAGCAGTTCTCTATATTTGTTGACGCTTCTTAGTACTTCTTCATTAGTTATCCAAGGTATCTTCAGCATTCGTCTATGAACTCACATTTCCAATGCTTCAATTTTGTTCGTGATCTATATTTTTAGCGTCCACACACTTGCACTATACAAAAGTACGGACCTAACATAGCACTTAACCATTCTTTGTCTTACTTCTAAACTGAGATGGATATTGCAAAAAATGACTTCAGTTTCATAAAAGTAGTTTTAGTCATTGCTATTTTACGTTTTATTTCTATGTCTGGATCTAGTTGTTTCGTAATCACAGTTCCCAAATATGTCATTTTGTGAACTTTCTTACCTTCCCGTTCAATTGAAGCTTTGCATCGGGATGTGGGTCACGACTAAATACTAAAAATTTGGTTTTGTTTGAGTTTATTTTAATGCCTATTTCCTCTTCTACGTCGTGAATACGATTAAGCAGAATTTGAAGACCTTCAATATTATCTGATATAATTACTGTATCGTCCGCATATCTAATCACATTAAGTAGTTCCCCGTTGATTTTTATTCCATATGGTTTTCTTTTAAGTGTCTTTTTAAATGACTGATCCGAGTAAACATTGAACAATGTTGGCGACAAAATGCAACTTTGTCTGACTCCTCGTTGTATGGTGATTTCATCGGTGTAGTTATCTCCAATTTTTACGATTTCAGTTTAATTCCAGTACAATTTTTTAATGACACGAATAACCTTGTCATCTATTCCGATATTTTTTAGTATTTGCATTAATTTCACAGCTGCTTTTTATCGAATGCCTTTTCGAAGTCCACGAAACATGCAAATACATATTTTCTTTGGTCACGACATTTTTTGAATAGGCTGTTACGTGCAAAAAGTGCCTTCCTGGTTCCCATAGCATTTCTAAAACCAAATTGGGTATCTTCAAGATCTTCTTCGCATTTGCGTCTAATTCTGTTGCGAAGTATTCTAAAAAAAATTTTAGGAGTGTTGCTCATTGGGATAATTAGTCGATATTCTGAGCATTTTCTCGCATTGTATTTTTAGGTATTGCGACGAAGATGGATTTGAGCCAATTTGCGGGAATCACTCCGGTGTTATATATTGCATTAAAAAGTGTTACTACTACCTTTATGTTATCGTTCTCTATTAGTTTCAGCAACTCAGTTGGTGTATCATGTGGACCACAAGCTTTTTTAATTTATATAATATTTATAGCGTGTTCTACCTCGCATTTCATAATTTCTGGGCCGGCAGTACAGTTTTGGTAGAATTCGGCAATATTGTTCATGTCATCTTCTTGTTCCTGTCAACAATTCTGATATATATAGCTGCCATTCTTTTCTTATTTCGTGCTCATTTACAACAATTTTGTTATTATTGTCAACAAGCACAGACTGAACTCGGTTTTTATACTCGGTTATATACTACCTCTACCAATCCACCTTTGGGAATAAATTTCATCTCGCTAATTTCTAACTTCTAGGCTATAATGTGGTGGTGCACCGTCAGAAGGATATCTTCTAAAAGAGTTGGTAAATCTTTTCTTAAAAAATTTAGATATTTTATTCCGTTAAGCCTAGTAGATAATTCGAATGGTCCTACAATACAATCCCCAAATATGCCACTCCAGGTATATATGAAAAATTCACGTTGAAAATGATGTTGAACTTCATGAGGATTTTCTGTCGCATACGTATGGCTATTGCGCCAGTTTAACACACCTCTTCGAGTAAATGTGGCTTCAGCGATAAGTACAATTTTATTATAAAATATTGGATCCTCCAAAGGCCGCCCTAATGTAAACTGACTAAATCAGAGCAAAATGGAAAATTCTTTGATAAAAGATTATGTACTGGTGTAAAACCATACGGATACAGATTTTCTGTCCGTATTACTCTTGACACTGCAGATTTGCTTATACCAGTAGCCGTAGAAACAAGAAACAAGCCTTGTACTGGTTTCTGGATCTTCTGCAACACACACAACAATTTCATCATCCATATCCGCATCAACTACACTCGGTCTTCCAGCATTCCTGTTTTTGGGACACAATGACCCTGTTTCGTCTAATCTGTCGAACAATGATCTAATAGTTTTATGGTTTGGTTGCCTTCTATTGTGATATAGTTCGAAATAGCGTTGAGCTGCTTTACGAGAACAAAACCTGGGTATACAAACAGATCATATCGCGCATCTTTATATTAGAAAATTCATTATGACGTGGCATTTTACCTTTATCTTAAGTGGTTTATAAAAAACTTAATAGCACTTTGACAAATAATGACTCTCACCGACTTTTACAGCTAATAATAAATAAATTCGTAGTTATGCCGTAACGTTGCCATTAAGTTCGGATCCTTCTTCGAGTGGACTATGTTTTGCGTGGAAGATCAAAACCTGGTGGTTGTGAGTAATACAGAGCATGTTATTTTGCCATGCGTTTCACTTTTGGACCATACATTCGTCATCTTGAACTTCTTATGTATCATTCTTGCCGTTTTCATTGGTGGTTTCCTAGAACGAAGATGGGTATTTCGTGCATCCTCGGTATCTTGGTGGATCGTCAGTTTTATATTGTTTATGATCTTTTTGTATTCACGTATAAGTGCGTCAACTCATCGTATATGTAAAGGTATGATGCGACTTAATACTGAAAGCCATTGGGTGGGAGTTGATTTAATTGTATCAGCTATCATCCTCATAGTGCTGTGCAGCTGAGTGTCGAACTTTTTTACGCGTGGACTGTGTAGCCAAATTGGAGCACAATATTCAGCGGTCGAAAAAACAAGGCCTATTGTAGAGCGGAGAGTGGAAACCAATGCTCCCCAGGAGGTATCGCAGAGCTTCTGTATAATGTTATTATTTGTACTCAACTTTTGGGCAGTTTTTGTTAAATGCTCTTTAAATGATAGTGTTTTGTCTAGTGTGACGCCCAGGTACTTTAGTGTTTTGTTGTAAGTATGTGTGGTATTTTCAAAACGTATGTTGAGTTCCTTTCCAGCAAATTTATTGTTCAGTTGAAAGCAACTAACTTCTGTTTTGGACGCATTAGGTTAAAGTCACCACTTGCGAAAATATTTGTTTAATATATGTATATACAGATTGAACCAAATTAAAACGGAACATACAATTTAATACATGTCTGTTTGAACTGCATTTAAAATAGTGGACCAATATAAAACTTGGACAAAAATAAATCCATACCTGGGTATAGACATTGTATAAAATATCGTTCAACTATCTGTCTCGCAACAAAGTTGTTTGCGTAAGACGGGTTTGTCTAAGGAGGCGTAATAGTTCAGGAATTGAAGCTCGAAAAAAGTTAAAACCTCGCAATTTTTTCGTCCTGCATGTATCCAGTTGAAATTTTAGCAGAAAGTAGGTAATAGCCCAAGGATCAAAATCTATATCGAACCGAAGTGCGCTGAAGGATTTTAGGGGTGAAAACTACCCCTAATTGTCAAAAATTATAAAATAACATATTAAACCTGAATATGGGTAAGATTTGGTGTGAATTAATTAAATAATGATTATTTTATACTTTTGAATAGAGTTCCATCATATTTCAACCCTTAAAAAGCAACCCTTGTTAGAGATTATTGTAAAAAATTACTAATTCTAAAAAAATGATTTCGCCTTGGATCGATTTGGATAAAAATTTGGATTTAAGCTCAATTCACCCGCTGCTTTATAGTTTATGTCATGTCGACGAACCCTGATTGTTCTTAGGGGTGAAAACTACCCCTAATTGTCAAAAATTATAAAATAACATATTAAACCTGAATATGGGTAAAATTTGGTTTGAATTAATTAAATAATGATAGTTTCGTGCTTTTCAATAAAGTTCCATCATATTTCAACCCTTAAAAAGCGACCCTCATTAGAGATTAATATAAAAAAATTAGTAATGCGAAGAAAATGATTTCACCTTGGAACGACTTGCATAAAAATTTGGAATTAAGCTCAACTCACCCTATACTTTATAGTTTATGTCATGCCGATGAACCCTGATTGTTCTTAGGGGTGAAAACTACCCCTAATTTTCAAAAATTGTAAAATAATATTACAAATTCCAAGATGAGTGAAATTTGGTTTGGATTATTTAAATAGTGAGTTTTTTATACCTACTTTAAAATACAAATTCATACATTTTCAACCCTTAAAAATCAATTGTTATGAGTGCTATAGGTAAAAACAATTTTTTTGCCAAAATTTTGCAACTTTTCAACTTTTGAAAATCACCCTTTACAACATTGCAGTTTTTATAAACTAATTTATAAAATATAAATTGAAAAAAGTAGAATTAAATACAAAAAAAATTATCAACATAAAAAGGCACCATATATTCTTATACAGTTACATAAATAGTTGAAAATATTTACATTTATAGGTAAAACAATTATAATATTAATTTTATTCGTCATCAATTACATCTTCATGTGATCTATGTCATCATCATCTTCCTCAATTATTGGTGGACTGTTATTGCACCCTTCACCTGAGCACCCAGAACAAGTAGAGTTACAGTATAAACCAACTTTTCTGCACCCATATGAAACGCCGCATCCTTTTTTGCATTGGCAAAAAATAATTTTCAAAAATTTATCGGGTGCAGGTTGTTTGTTCATACGTACGGGTAATAACAAACCATCTTTGGAAAACCATCCCCAATCTGTTGCTCTGATATTTTCATTGCCAAGCCATAGACATATGAGCAGATGTTTTATTCTGTTGTATGGGATTTCAAAATAAGAACGCTTAAAATTTCGAATGTATAACGCCCCACTAGCTAATATACCGGTTTTGTAAATTATTATGCTCCGAAATGTACTGTACTATACTAATGGAATTTTCCGGAAAAAAATTAACTGGTTTTTTTAACGTATTTCCTTTAATTTTTAACGATAGATGTTTCTTCAAAAACGATTTGTAGAGGTTTTTAATAGCTACAAGGTTCTGTGAATTAAATCTTTTTGGAACTCTTGGTTTTTAAATGGGGTGAGTTTAAAGGTCTCGAAAAAGATGGTGCTTGATCGTAAATAGATGCTTTAAACGGCTATATCTCGCCAAATATTCATTGTACAACAAATCTAAATAAAGGATAATTTTAGTCATTAAAAAAGCTACAATTTGGTAATTTTTATTTTTTTCATATATTCAGTATTTTCGGGCATATTTAAAAAAAAGAAGGGTAAAAAATATGAAATTGTAAATCGTTTCTCGCTTTAAGCTGTACTTTTTCTAAAACTAAGCATTTTAAATGGGTCAAACTTCTTGGACGTATTAACAATACATCTACAAAGGGAATTGCAAAAGGGTGAAGATCGATTTTAATTATGGGGGAGGTTAGGTTGTTGTTTTCCTCGATTTTTTCGTAAAAAATGAGGTATTGACCTTATTTTTTTATGATAGGTCTATTTATGCTCTTTAAAAAACGTTTTGTGAGTTTTCTTCCAAAAATGCATCATTTTCCCGATATTTGACTGTGAATCTTTCAAATTTGGCATTTGAAGAAAACCGCTGAACATTGATATTGTATTTGTAATTGTATTTGTCTTTTTAAAAGCTACAAATTTGTTCTCTACAATTTTTTTGATAAAATGCACCATTTTCGAGTTATTCGCGAAAAATCGATTAAAAACGTGGATTTTTTCGTCTAAAAGTTGTTACTTTCAATCGAGAAAACTTGAAAAATATCATTTTATAAAAAAATGTATAGCACATTTTTTGTTTAGAATCACTTTTCTAATCAAAACCTGTAGTTAACACGTAAAAAAAATTTCACCCCGGAGATGGGGTGGCAACCGGAGATGGGGTAGGCTTTGGCGCACTTTGGTTCGATA